CCCCCCCCCCCCCTCGTTTTTTGGTAGCCAATACCCCTACTGAAACAAAAGATGAATCACTCCATCACAATGTCACAGGAACAGATTGCTAGTTTTCTAGCCAATGCTTTCTTCTGTACTTTTCCACGTCGCAATGCGAAGATGAAGTCTGAGTATTCTAGTTATCCAGACATTAACTTCAACAGGTATGGCACTCTGGAGTAAGTGAAGCTGATAACCCTTCAATGAAAATATTATTGTTGTCATTTAGGGGAGAAACTTGTTGTATCTTTCATGTTTCTGTCACTAATTTCAGTAGTTTGCTTTCTGTCTTTTCTGTTTACCTCTAAGGGACAGAAAGTCATGCAACTATGTAGGAAAGGATCTCGTGCACAGGAAAACACGCTTAATATTCCAAATTTTTCTTTTTTTCATGTGTGCACATGCACAGTCACGCTCTTGCTCTGGCATAATTAGGCTGATAAAATTCCCTGCCTCCTCATAAGCCATTTGTCTGCGAATGGTATATTTCAGTTGTGCTTCAAGTGTTCTACATGTATTTAAATTAAAGGTCAGTGTTTCCCCAGGCATGTTTCTGTTGTCTCCTTTGTGCCAGCATTGGTGATCTGCACATTAAGTCAGATCAATAGATTTGTCAGCATCCATACAATCTCTTATCATTTTAAGGCAGTTGTAGAGCTGCATGTTAAAACAAACCTGTCCTTTTTGCTACAAGTTAGCCTAAAAAGGTTTCAAGACCATGATAAGAATTTAAAGATGCTCTGATTTCTAAACAAACACTTTTTTTTTTTCCTCAACACTAGCTTACAGGCAGATTTGATTAGAAATTTTTCTTCACATCTTTTATTTTTTAAATATGCATATTTCAGTTTTAAATGGGGGAAGAGGATGGAGACACTTTCTGCTGCAGAATATTATGGTTCATGTGGATTTGTAGATTAGAAATGAGGGTTTGTTATCTTCTGGGCACTTCCATACAAGTCTGTGTAGATTAACCTGAAGTTTATTAGGCTGGAGTTTGGATAGATATTGATCCAGAGTTTTTCTTATTCCTCACAGTTAACAAATGTAGTGTATATGCTCTGAAAACTGAGATGAAATGTAAAAAATACTATTACGTGTGATCCAGCACACTTTGGTATGTGTGTCATAAGAGCTATATTAGACTAGAACTTTCCAGAACACATTGTCAGGCATGCCGATCTACTAATAATGGTGCTTGCTGTCTTTAAGGGCTAGCACAGGTTTCTCTATACTGTGTATTTCGGAAGAGACACCAGGGTCACTGTCTTGGAGTTTATTCCAACAGTGTAGTGGGCTGCGGAGGAGGTGTGGGTGGGCATCAGTGTGCCACACAATTCAGTGTATTTTTCCACCATTAGTTCCTAAGAAGAAATAAATGAGAATACCTCCATGCATTGAAAAAGGTCTGTGTTCAGAGCAGTGAAAGAGAACAGTAAAGTTCTGGAAAGAGTTCTGTGTGAATGCACTAGCTACACACTTCTAGCTGAATTTTATGTTTTTTAAGGGCGTTTAATGTACCAGTTTTTGTAACTTAAGCATGTTATAAATCAAGCATTTAAATTCTTACCAACTACAGAATAGAATGCTGTTGAATCACTGAAGTAAATTCAAATTCTCATCTATGAACATTGTGCAGCAAAGTCAAGTCACAGTAGTACAGTGTAATACTAGTGGTTAACTCGGGGCATAATATTTTGAACTACTTTTAAATAAAAAAGTCTTGGAAAACTATTAGGTAAATAGTTTCCTGCCATGGACTTAAAGAATGACCGGTATAAAGTATAAACGATTCAGGATTTTCTGCACTGTTCCAGTCAGTCCTCCTTTGTTTTCTGACTTGGCTTCCTAGTGCCAACTCATAGTAAGTTCCAACAATGTTATTTAAAAGGGGTAACACAGCAGACAACCTTCAGGCCTTCCTCTTGCATTATGCATGAGGTAGTGCTCAGCTTTTAGTCACATAGGGTAGAAAGCCAGTTTTGTTTGTGTAAGTGCAAGAATATTGTTGCCAAACTGGAGAAAAGAAGGGAAGCTGATGTCTTCTGGTTCTTGAGGATTAAAAGTGGTTCTTCCTCAGTGTTTGCCAATTTGTGTGATTTTTATATAATTAAACTTTCCTTTTTCAGTCCTTTTTTTACTTAACCATTTGTTGGACCAAAATTTCCCCCCTATGTATTTTGCATTTGATAATGAACAGCTGTGACAGGCAGTGGATAAAATAAGAGGGGATGTGTCAGTGAGAGGGGGACTGGCAGGATAAAAGCAAAAGGAGATTGAAGAGAGTGAGTGGTGGAGAGTACTACAAGAATTTACAGTTTTCCGTCATGCTACTGTATATAACCTGGCTTAGTTGAAATCTCAAATGAGGGGGGAGAAGGAGGATGGATAGTACCCTATTTCTTTTTCCTCCTGTCAACCCTGTATTTTCTCACCCTGAAAAGTTAGTTCTTTAGTAGCAAAGACAGAAGAAAATGTTCTTTTTTCACCCATTGTTTCAGGCTTGTAAAGACAGCGTGGATTGGTCTGTGTGTACTTTCAGCTTTTACAAAAAAAGCCTTCCTTGAAGCTGGGTATACTCAAAAGGCAGTAGGCAATGACTGAAGTTAAAGTGTTTGTGACTTCCCCACCCCCTCTTTATAATAATGTTTTGATGTAAAGGCTTTGGAGGCTGCTGCTCTGCTCTGTGTGCTTAGGGATGGGCATAATGTTGTTCCACACAGCAGCCCTTTCTCCCCATAGTATTATGGTCTGCAGCTTTTTCCAGGCTTAGTTCTTTCCTCAGCATAATTCATCTGCTACGTGACTGTCAATGAACTACTTCATTCTTTGGGTACAAAAAAATAATCTGCAATGGTTCCCTAGCAAAGCAAAATTATGGATGCTAGCATTTGAGGGATATTTTTCTTTAGCAAATGTGGTCTTCATCGATTCCACTGTGCATGCCCTTTCTACATTCATCCAAAAGGCTTCCACCCCTCCCTTCAACTCTTTTAGGCTAAAAAAATAGAATTTGTGCCTTACGTTAGAAACACAACTGTATAAGCTGTTTCTTTCTTGTGTTTTCAGTTTTACAGAGCAGTCATTTATCAGTTTGCTTTATGCAGACTTAAACATCAGTACCTTTTTATACAGTATAAAATAGTTAGAGTTTCTACATTTAAATGCTGTCATGCTCCCTCATCCCTCCCAGTCTTCCCCCTGCTTTAGGTTTTTATGTGGTATTAAGTACCATGTTGTGCCTTCCACACCTACTCCCCCCAAGGTACAACTCTTTTTGACAGAACAACTGATGCTCAGTACAAGGTACTGAGAATTCACTTTTTTTTTTTTCTTTTCTTTTCTTCCCCCCCCCGCCTTGTCCCTCTGTTAAGCTTTTTCTGGTGCACTGTTACTGGTTAAGCTTTTTCTGGTGGTTGGCACTGTTACTACAGTGATGACGGCAAACTGTTTGAATGCTGGTGCGTGTGCTAATAACTGCAACTGACTGGCAGGAAGGCAGTTGTATGTGTTAATATTCACGTGTCATCTGTGCTTTACTTCTCCTGCCTGTTGGTCTTGCCAGAGGAGAGGAGAAAAAAAGTGAGCATTCCTCTATTGACACTGAAGCACTTAGTTTAATAGTATGTTGTGACAGTGACTGTCTATTTTGATTGTTCATCATGGTACAGACTGAAAGTCACCTGTGTATAATGAAATACTCAGTAATTTAATTGAATTCTTCCCTTTCGTACTTGGCAAGGATGGGCCTCTTATGATTCTTAAGTCATTAATGACATAAATAATTTCAAATGTAGTGAATAAAATGGAATTTGTAGTTTCACTTTGAGAGCTTTAATGTTTATGAATTCTAGTAGATAGAAGGCCATCCATTCAGTGGCCAAACATTAGATCATACTAAATAGCATAAAATACTGCTTCCGTTCTAAATACCAAGCTAAATTTGAAGAGTTCGGTTTTTCTTTTTAAAAACACTTTTATAATATGTAAGATGGAAATAGATCAGGCACAGCTTTATGCAAAAATATGCCATCACAAAAAAAAAAAGGAAATAATTAAATTTGCCATTTTATTCCTCTTACTGATAAATTTTCCATGGAAGTTGCATGCTTGTTGAATGCAGAGCATGAATTGTATTGACTCTTCTGAGATCAACTCTACAATTATGATGCTGGTTACACAGTTTAAAGTAGTTTCTTATGGTGATGCTCATAATTAATCTTATTTGTTGGTGGTTTAATGTAGCACTTTCATAAAAAATATATTCCTCTTGAAATATATTAAAGATAAGATTGAACTATGCTGTCTTGCATTTATTTTTTATAAGATGCTGAAATGGATACCGTCTGCTGCCACACAAGACTCCGCACTGTGGAGGTTTTTCTTCCCTCTTGTTGATCAAGTTATCAGACCTGTGCCTTAACACTATAGAATTTGGTAATTTAGGAAACTACCTAGTTTGATTATATGTAAAAACAAAGTATAAGGAAAAACTTCTGCAATCTTGAGTCAGTGTTCTTGATGACTGAAAAGGAGATAGATTTGTCAAGAACCCATTTTGCTTTTTTTGTCTATGACCTGCTACAGATCCGTTCTTAGCTGTTGTGTCAAGTCAGAATAACTCCTCCATTTTCCTTTTTCAAAAAACTACTGTAGTTAAACTGGAGATACTATGCATCTGTAATAGCTCCCATCAAAGCAGTTGAGGTTGCATTCATAATTGGAGGTAGTATGTCTAATGACATAGGCCTGGTGAATCTTTTGGCACATATATCAGTGGATGCTCTGGTCTGAAAGTGCCAGCATTCCCCTGGACTGAATTTCTTCATCTTTATCAAACAAACCTTTAAAGTATTTCAAGTGATTGGAAATGAGGGGGGAAAACCCACTAGTTAAGATATATATGTCTTTTATGGAACGTGTGATATATGAAAGGAAATGGGCAAACTGTATAGTACGTTTATGCAGGAGAATTGAAATCTAATTTACCAGTAATGCAATTGTCTCTTCATAATCAACATCAATTTTGCAACACTAATGAGTATTCTCTGGGGAATAAATTATCTAGAGACTTTGAGAGAACTTGGTTTGGACTGAGAGATGCATTGCTTCTCTGAAAAGTGGTTCTAGGTTTTCTGAGTTTGCCGACACGGATCATACAAAA